CTTGTCAATGTGGGATATTTTACCAACTCATGCGCCACAAAATCTACATAATGTCTGTAAATAGAAAGAGTTGCCAGCCTACTCGCTCTAAGTGTTTAATAGTTTGTTGTTCCTCTTACGGCATAATAAATCTTAAATTATTTATTAATACGCAAAATACTTTCTGATTAACTTATCTTCAATCACTTATTAAGACCTGGAAATGTCGAGGAAAAGTTAAAATAGTGTTTGTGGCTTGTCCCACCCGATTGACAGTAACATCAGATCAAGTCTCTGATATCAGAGCAAGCCAACGAATCATCTTGACAAGGAGTCAAGACTGCGCCTGTCGTTGGCAAGAACCTTGGGCACTATATAGGTGACAGTATACGACTTTGCCCAGTTTCGCCCTCCTCGGGATTCGAATCAATATCTTTTGGTACGGCAGTCAGCGTTGCTAACCATTATCCCGTTTAGGCGGCAAAGTTAAAATAATTCTTTGTCTCAACCAGTCTTGAAACCTTAGGTAACAGCCAAAATAAAATTTTCCTACACATACGGTTTACATTCAATCATACAACTTAATTATCAATCAAATTTCAAAATTTTACTCTTCCATCAAACCCATTAATTATTTATTACATCTAAATATTACGTTAAATATCTAAACATTAAGAAAACATTGCCTATACCAGCGGTCGCCAACCGGTAGTCCGTGAAGACTAATTATGGTCCGCAGAAAAACTGGGACATAATTCATATTTTTATGAAGCTTCAGTTTAAAAAATGACGAGTAACAACACTTATTATGGAATATGCTTTATACTTTTTTTTTTAATTTTAGCTACTACTTTTAGCGAAATTCCTTTTAAATTTAGCGACTTTTTAGCTACTTTTGCAGGTGTACCTAGCAACATTTGAAAGTGGAGTTGGCATCCTTGGGTATGCTGCTGTTATCAGTAATAGCGCGAACTGGAATCCTCTTTCCTTTTGAATTACAAACATATGTTATTGTAGTCGTTAATGATACAGTTTTTCTCCGTGTCAATAGGCAACTTGATGGATTTTTATGAGAATCATCTGCATTCTTGTTTATAAATGCATCACTGGAGGTTTAAGTTTTTGTTTTATCTAACTGTTTATCGATGACGCCATTGCTGAGCAAACAATGACTATTATGTTTACAATAATTAAAAATTTGCAGCATAACACTATCAGTTTATTGACATCGCTTTTGCGTTTGCCGGTTTGTACTTACTTGCTTTTGGTGAAGTTCCTTTTCAGTAATATGGAAATGTGAAGCTTTCTGTACAAGAAGGTAAGATTTTTGTATTTTTCATGTAATTTTTCAATGTGAACGAAATATATGTAGATTACTGATTATTATTGTATAAATGTATTTACCTTTTCTTTTTTATTCATATTAGTGATCCGCCAAATATAAAATTATATATGTAGCGGTCCGTGAAGTTCTAAGGGTTGACAACCGCTGGCCTATACTCAGTTGACTTCATAAAAGAATACAAAGCAAGAAAGTACAGTAAGAAATAAATAAAATTAACTTAAAAATCCCCTTTTTTTCCCTGCTTCAGTTAACAATAAAGTTATCATGGTATAAGAATATTATCTTAAAATAGAAATTATAGGCTAAAAGTATAATTATAATAGCGTGTTCAAATGTCATTTTCAGTCTGAAGACTATGAAAATAAAATATCTTTTTCTTCACACTTAGTGAATTCAAAACTGTATTAAAATGATCTTCTTATGGTCTCCTAAAGCTATAATTACTTTTTGAACATTAGTAAGTTTATTGGTAGATCCTACTTTGTTATTATTTAAAATGCTTAAAAACGGCATGTACCATTATTAGATGATGCTCGTCACTTACACTCTGAAATGACATTCTGATCTTCTAAAGTTGCTGTGACTGGTTGCACGTTCAGACGTTTACAGATAAATCTTACCTTTTTATTATTTAAATGTTTAGAAATGGCATATGTCATTGTTAGATGATGCAAAGCACATAATAAAGAACTTGGAGTAATACGTGGTAACGACGTGCAAGGTGAATGATATCATTTTGTACGTTTTCGTTCGGAAATATGCACATTCTTCCTCTGTGATTTTTTTCGCAACAGCATAGTGAAAATATATATTATTTTGTTCTCTTACCGAAATATTTCTCCCGTTTTCAAGTAGAGTACTTGTGATTCGCCAAGAGGATTCGACTGTAATCTCGAAATGGCAAGTCGGTTGACTTGCGTTTAAGCCTGACACCATAAATGGTAGTCAATTTACATTTTCATGATGAATCAGATATGGAAGAAGTTTTCATTTAAATGAACAACGAAGGGAGTACTTAAATAAGTACTTCTTCTTTTAAATCTGTTGCGATTTTTCCATGTACGTTCTTTCTATACTTCCGAAAAGAAGGCTTGTTACTTAAGATCACATATTTTGTGGACGAGCCCTCAACAGTTGCTGCCAACGAACACGTAGCTTGTCTGTAACTTTATTCTATCAAAACGTATCCGTCAGCGTTACCAACGCAAGTAAAAGGCTGAGTATTTTTGCTGAAGACAAAATTTTACTATGTTCTTTTTGTGACAAATACCGTGACGTTCACTAGATTGAACACAACTTATAGATGAAGTAAAAGATTTAATTTCAGTTTAGAATTAAATACTAATGAATTGCGAACTACAAGTCAATTAATATAGGAATTTAAAGATGTCTTTCTAACTTCATCTAGTGACACTGGACGCAACACTAGATCTTCTCCGGAAGCCATTCTTCTACGAAGCAACATTCTCGACGCCATTCTTTCGCAGAAACAGAGCACATTCTTCAAATCAAAAACTTCCAAAGGCTTGCAAGACAATAAAACTAATAAATCTTCTTCTAGTCCTTGAGCATTACCTATCGTGTTAGTAACACCAGAATACACATTTAAGTAACACTAGAAAGACAGATGTTAATCGTTGCCGATAACTGAGGACACTTTAGACACGTTAACAAAAAACAAATGGTCTTTCACACTGGATCTGAAACCCAGCTCTTGACAAAAGGAAAGAGATCTCAAAGATAATCAAAAGAATGCGTTTCGTATTGTGCAAGAACAGGTGCTACTTTGGTAGACGGTTGCACGGATTTTGGCGATTTTTTGGCAATTTTTTTTTTTGGCGGGCAATACGACTTATGGTAAACCCATTGCTAGACAAGTTGTTTATGGTAACCGATGCTTTGTTGTCATTTTATTTTAAAAAATAATGTGTTTTATTATGCCTAAATTCCGTGTTTTAAATATTATTTATGACTTCAAAATAATAAAAATGAATTTAATTTTGCATTTTTATTTGAAATAAAAATTTTATTGTTTATGATTTTTATGTTGTGAATGATGTAATGAATGACGTCACATTATTTTAAAAGTAATTGGTTTTAATATCTATAAATTTATTCTAATGTTTTAAACACTATTTATGGGTGTTAAATATTAAAATACAATTTAATTTTCCATTTTTATAAAATATGATTTTATTATGAATGATTATTTAAATAATTTTAATTTTATGCGTGATGTAATCAGCTCCCTAATTGGTTACTGAATATTTGTGCATTACCGCGCCATTTTAAAATTTTATTATTCATCTCTTCGAATTCCTCAGATTTGAAAGCGAATGGATGTGTCCGTTTCGAATATGAATGTTGTTATTGGTAATTACCAAGATTATTGGTATCGGAATAAAAAAAAATTGCCGTTTGAGACCTTATTTTGGCCAACCTCGCTTTTCTAATCAAAGATTTATTTATAAATTGTTAATAGCGTCAGAGGAAATTTATTTTAAATTTTTGGAGATAACCTGGCTAATTGCTTCTTCAATGAAGTGTGAGAGATGTGGATTACACAGATGAAGATCGTTAGCGGACCGGTTTTTTTTTTTTTTTTTTTTTTTTTTTTTTTTTTTTTTTTCGTGGTACTTATCAATATACGACAGGTTAAAAAATGTGAGTACATAATTTTCTTTTACTTCATAATTGTATACTTCAATTTTTATTAAAAAATTAATACAATGTTTTAAAAAATTCCTGAGATATTTATTGCCGCATATGTTTTTAAATGTTAATAAATTAATGTTAATAAATAATTAAATCCTATAAAGCTTATTTTAAAGTATTTAAGTAATATTTTAATTCTTTTAAAATGTTGGTATGATGTTTTTAATTCGATATTCAATTTGAGTAATATTTTAATCCAATTAAATGTTGGCGCCAATGTTTTTATAGCGGTTTTTTATTGCTATTATATGAAGTAATAATTTAACCTTACTTTAGCATTTTATAGTCTTAGTAAATGTATTTATTTACATTTGCCAGCCATCTTAAAAAACAACGTGTTCAACAAAAAATTAATCCATTATTTTTAAAGGTATTTATTTTTTTTTTAAGTTTCGAATACTTTACTATATGCATAAAATACGTAAAAACAGCATTTTTCAAGATGGCTGACGACTGTAAAATCCGCGCCAACAATTGCTCCAATGTAAATCGCCAAAAATCCGTGCAACCGTCTACCAAAGTAGTACCCAATAACAGTTTACAGTCAAGAGACTGGATATCAACACACTTGACATCTTTTCAAGTTCTTTTCGAACTTCTATCTTCAGTGTAAATTCTGCATAACAATATTAATGTATGTACAACATATTTGTAAACATCTTTTATTGACCGATTATAATTTCCAATATCACAATTCAATATAATCTCCAGTAACAGCCGATACTAGGAAAGATTTATGATCGAACTGTGTTGCCAGGTTTTATTGCAAAAAATATTATGTGTCTTGCTAATGTTTTTGCAACATTTCTAGAACGAGAGCGTTGAAATTATTACTGCGTGATTTAAGTGACATATATTATTACTTTATATAAAAGAAAACTGCCTTTGGCAACTATTTCCTGGAACTTTTTTTTATATAAATACTGACTTTAGATAACATTAGCTTTCATCGTTAAAGCAATTCTGTTAACATCATTTTCACAAGTTTGTTGGGTATTTAATTTGAAAAAATACACTTTTTTTTTTATTTGAAAAATCACGTTCGACTGATTTTTAATGAAATATTTTTTGACTATTTTTATCCTGGTTGTTGTCATTGAGAGAGGTAAATAAATCTAGTTAAGTTATTTTGTGTTAAGATTTTGTTTAATGTGAAAAGTATTTAAAATTTTTTGTGTTTGATTTAAACTAAAAGCATGAACTTAGTTAATTTGCAATACTGTGTTTTGACCAAATGATCTAACAATAAAAGTAACTTTTTACAATTGTTTAACATTTGCTATCAAATTTCTGATGACTAAAATTATCCAGAATGAAAACTGAGTTAATGGCTTGATCTGTAAATGATAAGTAAATACAAATATAAATGGGAAATGTAATTATTATCTCATTGTTTTCGTGAAAAAACTCAGACAGACGAAATCATCATGATAATTTTCTCCATATTTAGTTTACGCCGCTTAATAAAAATAAATAAACAGATAAATAAATAAAAGGTGCTATTTTGGGTAGACGGTTGCACGGATTTTTGGCGATTTACGTTGGCACAGTTTTTACAATCGTCAGCCATCCTGAAAAACACTGTTTTTACGTATTTTACGCGGCCCACCAGCGGCCGAGCGGTAAAGTCGCTGAACACTGGTAGTTCGGTCCGAGGTTCGAATCCCGCGAACGGGCTGGCTGCATGGGTGTTTTCGTGGTTTTCCCCATGTGTAACGTGTATACGAGCCAGTTTCCCTTAGAAAGTCCTCCACGAAGGCATCCCTCCTCTTAGGCAGATAGCCCTCGAGGCTTTGCCATAATCACACACACACGTATTTTACGCATAGTATTTAAAAAAATAAGGTGTTACTTTGGTAGACGGTTGCACGGATTTGGTGATTTTTTGGCGATTTTTTTGGCGAGTAATACGATTTATGGTAAACCCATTGCTGGATAAATTATTTATAATAACCGATACTTTGCTATCATTTTATTTAAGAAATAATGCGTTTTATTATGCATAAATTCCGTGATTTAAATATTATTTATGGCTTCTAAATATTAAAAATCAATTTAATTTTGCATTTTTATTTGAAATAAAAATTTTATTGTTTATATTTTATCACATTTTATGTTGTGGATGATGTAATGAATGACGTCACCTTACTTTAAAAGTAATTGGTTTTAATACCTATAAATTTAATATAGTGTTTTAAACATTATTTATGGCTATTAAATATTAAAATATAATTTTGCATTTTTAAATGATTTTATTATGTATGATTATTTAAATAATTTTAATTCTAGGCGTGATGTAATCAGCTCTCTGATTGGTTATAGAATATTTGTGCATTACCGCGCCATTTTAAAATTTAAATATATCTTCGAATTCCTTCAAAGTGTCTCTTTCAAAGATGAATGTTGTTATTGGTAAGTACCAAGAATTATTGGTATCCGAATCAAAAAACTGTCCTTTGAGACCTTATTTTGGCCAGCCTGGCTTTTCTAATCAAAGATTTAGTTATAATTCTTACTAATTGCTTCTTCAATGAAGTGTGAAAATGTAGATCACAGATGAAGATCGTTAGAAGAGCCGATTCTGAGGAAGGCCGTATATGGAATTGTGGTCATGTTGGAAGAAATAACCGCTGTAACGGTAAGAAAAGTATTAAACATTCCTCCCTTTTTACCGACAATAAACTAATTGCTGTCATTTTAGCTCTAGTGTACGAAGCGTTCTTATTTACTTATTTTAAAGTATTTAAGTAATATTTTAATTCTTTTAAACTTGGTATGATGGTTTTTAATTCGATATTCAATTTACGTAATATTTTAATCCAATTAAACGTTGACGCAATGTTTTTATAGCGGTATATTTATTCTATTTCTGTGCTGTATGAAAGTAATAATTTAACCTTTCTTTAGTATTTTATACTCGTAGTAAATGTATTTATTTACATTGCCTGCCATCTTAAAAAACAACGATTTCAACAAAAAATTAATCCATTATTTTTAACGATATTTATTTTTTTAAATTTCGAATACTTTACTATGTGGCAAATAACGTAAAAACGGCGTTTTTCAAGATGGCTGACGATTGTAAAAACCGCGCCAACAATTGCGCCAAAGTAAATCGCCAAAAATCCGTGCAACCGTCTACCAAAGTAGTACCAAAAATAAATATCGTTAAAAATAACGGATTAATTTTTTGTTGAAAATGTCGTTTTTAAAGACGGCAGGCAAATGTGAATAAATACATTTACTATGAGTATAAAATACTAAAGTAATGTTATGATTAAAAATAATTAAAAATATGTACTTACACTTTTTTGAGTATTTAACCTGTCGTATAAGTACCACAAAAAAATCGGAATCATAATTTAGATATCAATGAAAAAATTTTTTTAATTTAATCTAAGGAAAAAAATTTGAAAAATGTAATCTAAGGAATTCGAAGAGATGGATGATAAAATTTTAAAATGGCGCGGTAATGCACAAATAATCAGTAACCAATCAGGGAGCTGATTACATCACGAATAGAATTAAAATTATTTAAATAATCATACGTAATAAAATTATTTTTTAAAAAATGCAAAATTAAATTGTATTTTAATATTTAACAGCCATAAATAATGTTTAAAACATTAGATTAAATTTATAGATATTAAAACCAATTACCTTTAAAGTAATGTGACGTAATTTATTACATCATCCACAACATAAAATTACGTAAAATATCATAAACAATAAAATTTTTATTTCAAATAAAAATGCAACATTAAATTCATGTTTAATATTTAGAAGCCATATATAATATTTAAAACACGGCATTTATGCATGATAAAACGCATTATTTTTTAAATAAAATGACAACAAAGTATCAGTTACCATAAATAACGTGTCTAGAAATAGGTTTACCATAAGTGGTATCGCTCGCTAAAAAAAAAAAAAAAAAAAAAAAAAAAAAAAATCGTCAAAATCCGTGCAACCGTCTACCAAAGTAGCACCAATGGAAAATAATAATTTATAGATTTTCGAATTCTTTCATCTGCCCAGGGTACATAGAAAATCATAACTATAACTCTGAGTGTTACTTAACATTAAGAAAATTATTAGATTTTCTATCTAGAAAACAAAATGAACAAGTGTTTCGGTCAGTTTCCGTTATGGTTTGTAACTTGACCTGCCACGACTTCTTTTTAAAATAAAACGAAATTATTAAATTGCTGCAATTTAATTTAGATTTGAAAATTAAGTTGAAATTATTTTAAACTGTTGTACTGTAGTAGCATTCCTAAAGACATTAGCTGAAAGGACATATAAAACTATCACTTGCACAAAGCTAATTCTTGGATCCTTACATTTCCAGTTACGTTCTGTAGATCAGAATTCGCGACCCCTTTTTATCACTGTGATTTTTTGGCGACCCCCAGGACCCCATAATATTTACAAAATTTTTGTGGGACCCCCATAAGTATTGCGCAAATCCAACACACGCATGAGTGAAACTGTCAATTTTTTCACCTGTATTGCAATATACTATTGCAGTTTTAGGTTATTAACTTTAATTTCTAATTTTTAAGACGTAGAACAATGTGAAAATTTTAAATAAGTAACAGGTGAAATGACAGCGTTACGTGCAAAGCAAGGAAAATGAACGTTTATATTATAAAAAGAATGCGTCGAAAATTTTCGTTTTTTTCTTTATCTGTATTGTCTTATCTTTATCAATTTTCAGATACATTGTGTAAAAATATTTGGTAATTGTAAAATTATTAAAATAAGTTAAAGAAATATCTAAACTTCTGAAATTTGTGGCGACCCCCTGCTGCAGGTCCCGCAACTCACTTGGGGACCGAGACCCAAAATTTAAGAAACCCGGCTGTAGAATATTGTCCTGTCATCTAAAATTTTCGGTATGCCTGTTCCGATGTAGAATAAATAAGCTTGGGAATCCATCAATACCCCAGACCCAACACAATAAATCCGAATTAAAATGTTTTCCCGAATTAAAATATTAGTATTCATTTTGGTTGTAGTAAACAAGTCATATTCACTACATCCGAAATGTTGTTTTTGAAATCAAAAATCTTGCAAAAATTTTATATCATTCTTTAGCTCTCGCATTATCTCGTTGTAATTTTTCTAATAATGTATAAGGTGTTCTAGTTTAATTTTAAGTTTTTAAGCATTTTTAAAACGTACTTGTTATTTTTAGAAAACACATTTTGTGTTCTTACAAAAAAGAAAGTATTCAGGTTTGAAATATGTGTTGCAAGCCTCATGCTGAAGTGATCGGCTGAAATAAAAGTACACTTACGTCTTGAATAATTTAATCTCTACTTATTAATTAAATGATGTCTCCTCGTTAGTTTATAATGGAATAATAATGGCAAAATTCATCAATTTAACTATTAGATTTTATGTTCTAAACTTAAAATTTCTGGGGGACTAATTCTTAATTTGTAACCCTGGCTTTACCGCTTAACTTAAAATCGATTCAAGTGTTAAACTGAATCCTCTTATAACAAAAGCAGATTGAAATCTAATAATTTTCATATTTCTTATTTGTTATTTATCTTTTTATTTTTCATATAAAAAAATCTGATGTGTACACCACATGACTTCCTTGTACGGAATATTAAATTATACGCATTTTTTCTTGCATTTCATTTAACTTATTAGATTGAATTAAACCTACTTCGCCGACACCGCATAAACCACAATAGAATAAATGCATTCTTTAAAATTCACTTTGTTTACCATAGCGACACTCCGGCGCTAGGTTTACTTAACAGTATTATGTGTTTTGTTCATATTATAACTCAGAATGCACAAAATTTGTATCATTTAAAGAATTATCTAATCGTTGCCACATGTTCTATTCAAATATTATAACAAAGCTAGAACGATGTATAAAAGAAATTAAGCAAACAAAACGAAAAAGGAACAGTTTTTCACAGACGATTGAATAATTCTCATTCAATTAATTCAGTTTTCACTTCGCGACAAGGCAAAAATACATAAAAACTCAAAATATCTGTATTAAAAATTACGAAGTAAATCTTAAATACTTATTTCCTCGAAAAAATTCCAGAAAGGATTAAGCATGATTTAATTCGCAATAATAAATGAAGGCGTTATTTTTGTGTTGCGAAGCTTAGTCTCTCTAGATTGGCAACAAATCTACAATTCTGCTGTTTCAAATGTAAACAAATATGTCCGCCATGTTATTTAAAACTTAACCGCACTTAAACAGCTTTTAAATTGCTGATAATTGTACAAATATTGCTTCTAGAATTACGAAAGCAATAAAAACTTTAACCGGAAGATAAAAACAACATAATTCAATCATTTTTAAAGCAAAAAATGTGCAATTTACAAACATATAAGAGTAAAGAAACTGAGTTCACTGAGCCGGGTAACAGAGTGGATATATTTATAAATATATTTATATACGTTTGGTGCGGCGGATTGCATCCAAGATACGAGGTGCACATCTACATCTAGTAGTCTTATATACAAAATTTCAACGTTCTGAGGCTACTCGTTTTTGAGTTATGCGAGATACGTACGTACGCATGAACGTACGTACATACGTTCGTACAGACGCTACGAAAAATTCTCTTCAGAATTTTTTTTTAAAGCAGTTTTTTATTTTATTTATTTTTTTATTTATTTTTTTAGGAAAAGAGTCTTTTTTATTCTGTCCTTATGTATAGATATCACGCAAAAAAAAAACATCGTTAAATTGCATTCGAAAGCGGTCTCAAAGTGGATATTTTCGTTGAAATATGCTGCCTGAAGCTTTTCGCGATTACAGTACTTCCTTTTTACTTCGTACAAGGAAGTAAAAAAATCTGATGTATACACCACATGACTTCCTTGTAATGGAATATTAAATTATACGCATTTTTTCTTGCATTTTATTTAAACTTATTGGATTGAATTAAATCTACTTCGCCGACAGCGCACAAACCACAATAGAATAAACGCATTCTTTAAAATTCACTCTGGTATTTGTTTACCATAGCGACACTCTGGCGCTAGATTCACTTAACAGTATTAATAATTATATAACAGTTAACTTATATAATATTTATATAACGGAAACTATGTTGACTGTTATATAATCCAATAATTATATAACAGTTAACTTATATATTTCGTTCATATTATAACTCATAATGTACAAAATTTATATCATTTAAAGAATAGAATTATCTAATCGTTGCGACATGTTCTATTCAAATACTATAATAAAGCTAGAATGATGTATAAAGGAAATTAAGCAAACAAAACAAAAAAGAAACAGTTTTTCACAGACGATTGAGTATTTCTCATTGAATTAATTCAGTTCTCACTTCGCGAGAAGGCAAAAATACATAAAAACTCAAAATATCTATATTAAAAATTACGAAGTAAATTTCAAACGCTTATTTCCTCGAAAAAATTCCAGAAAAGATTAAGCATGATTTAAATAATAAACGAAGGCATTATCTTTGTTGTTGGGAAGCCAAGTTTCTCTAGATTGGCAACAAATCCACTAGTCTCCCGTTTCAAATGTAAACATCAATGGCCGCCATTAAAAAAGCCGGAAGATAAAAACAACATAATTCAATCATTTTTAAAGCAAAAAATGTACAATTTACCAACATAGAAGAGTAAAGAAATTGAGATCACTGAGCCGGGTAACAGAGTGAATATATATATAAATATATTTATATACGTTTGGTGCGGCGGATTGCATCCAAGATACGAGGTGCACATCTACATGTTATAGCAGTCCTATATACAAAATTTCAACGTTCTGAGGCTACTCGTTTTTGAGTTATACGAGATACGTACATACGTTCGTACAGACGCCACGAAAAATTCTCTTCAGAATTAATTTTAAAGCAGTTTTGTAATTTTTTTGAATGAAAAGAGTATTTTATTCTGCCTTACGTACAGATATCACGCAAAAACATCGTTAAATTGCATTCGATAACTGTCAAAATGGATATTTTCGTTGAAATATGCTGCCTGAAACTTTTCGCTATTACAATAGTTCCTTTTTACTTCGTACAAGGAAGTAAAAAGTTTTTCTAACTTCTCGAAACTTTAACGATAAACTCTAGAGGTGTTGCACTATAATCTGATGTTTTCAGACTACATTTTCTTTTCCTTAAATCTTTCTTAAATTTCTTTAGCGGAGTTCTTTTAAAATATCTGGTCTTTTGAGTTCATTTTTATTTTCCTCTTTACTTGGCGTATATAACACGAAATTTAAATGCCAGTTTATTGTGAATTATAAATAGAAATATTAAAAAACAATTATTAACTGCTTTGCAGATCTGATAGTTTCATAATTTGCATTCCAATACCTTTGTTTTTAAATTGAAACTTTCTTAATATTCAAAATATATATAATTTAGATTATATTTTAAACTACTTAAAAAGCCTATTAAGGTTATTCAGTATATCGCAGATCCGTTTTGCATTACAAAACCTGCAAAGGATATACATAGACTACTGACTATGAGACATGAATAGTATATTCTGTCGGATTGGGTTTTTTCCTTAGGTGATATGAGAATTAAACACCGAAGACAGAGCATAATGACCACAAGCAGCAATGACGACATCACTACAGAAAAGTAAGTCAACTCTCTCTGTCTCTCTCCCTCCCCCTCTCCCCCTTTTTAACTTACGAGTTCGATTATAGTACATATGGTTTTAACTGAAAACATTTTAATTCAGGTTTAATAATATGGACGGATGAGTTTGAGTTCCTAAATGAAAATTTTATCGTCTTATATTGAGACAGATAGATATATTAGAAATTCGAGGTATTAAGAAGCAATATTTTGGGGAAGACAAGTCGAAATGAAGGAATTCATCTCTTGCGAGAAAAATAGTTTCATGTATGTATCATGACTTTCACAGCACTGCCACAGAGCGATAATTATATTTCGTTTACACTTCTAAGAATAAAACATTAGTACTTAAGGAGGAATCATTTCTCAATAGTGTCTTCATCTTTTTACAATTCTAGGAATGACGCGAGAGTAATTTATGTTCCTAAATTTTGTTATCATTCGGTGCAGACTGCTCCATGTAACGGGCATTTTATTAAAAAAAAAAAAAAAGAATAAGTGCATTTCATTTAAGTGAAAATCATTTTCTTTGGAATGTCATTGTGATGCCAACATGGAAATATTAATAAAAATATCTGTTGTCTAATGAGGAAAACACATTACAATTTACCGTGCCAGATATCAGCAAAATATTACTCTTACAATAACCAGGCACAATACAAATTCTGTATCTACATAAAAGTCTTTGAACATACGCATGTACATTAAGTAGTATTATTGCCTGAAATCATGGGCTTGGACCTCCCTGAATCGTTTTTTTCTGATATGATTTACAGAGTAAATTTCAAGAACATATTATTTGTTAAATTGTATTCAGTTTTATATAGAATAAAGTTTATGTTTTGTCCTAAATTGTGAAAAGTTAAAGGTAGCCATGAAAGGATTCGAATAAATAATTGTTTGCATCTTTAATTGTATATTCATTAATAATGTCCAAATTTCAAAAAGCAAAATGAACTCATATCAGTTACCCACAGTGCATGATCTCATTATACGCTTTCAGAATCAATATAGCGAAAGAATCGGAAAAGAGATTGCAACTCAAGTATTTTAGTTATTAATTGTAGCTTGTTATGAGGTACGCTTAATAATGGCCTCTTTCTTTAATTTAAAAGAAATATACCTAAATTTAAACCAAATTTCTATAAAAAATTTAAGTACCTAGTTACAATCTTTTCCACAAATATGTAAATTAAAGTTTATAACTTTCAATCTTTTGGTGAAACAAAAAACTTAAGAATACGGTTTGAAAACTTCTTAACTTTACATTAACATAAAAAACAAAGAAGCTCAAAACAATGTCATGTAAAACGTTGTCTGTATATTTAAGTTGGCTTCAGACAAAGCTTTCATGTTAGATTAGAGTTTCTGATGCCAGTAAACCAGTAAATCAGATTTAAGCTAATAATACACCTGTAGAACGATTTCCTGGTTTTTCGAGAAATTGTGAAAAATAGTGTAAAATTTTTTTACCGAAGTTAAGTACGAAGTTAAGTAACAAGTCGACAACAGTTTACTTTCACGTGTTTTGAGAAACCTATGCCACATCATTAATACTCTGGGACTTCTAGAAACATCATTTTAGTATTTTTCATTGCTTAATTCTCATTAACAAAGGCTTGGCAGCAACTGATGTACAGGACTATGAATCGGTTTGGAGAAAATTATCGCCAGATTAAGTTACAATCAAAGTCTCTGAGCGCTTTGATACTTTGGACTTTTTGTTACACTTGATACGATTTTAGACAAAACCATCGTCTAGGAAGTTAGCATTAAAAGACGTAAAGTAATCACTAGACAATCATAAAAATGAGCTCAACCTGAAAAAAACTATAACAACTTCAGAAGCAGCAATAAAAAGGGATTGTGGAAGAAATTTCTTCTTCAGAAGAACAAAGGAAAAATTATTCTAGTTCTCTAATTCGAGAAATTTGGCCAAAAGAGGTAAACTGTAAAATTATGATATACCGTTATGACTTTGATAAAACATTAGCAAACTGCTGCGCAAACCTTTTATAGCCAATGCCAAGTGTCACTTCCGAAACATTTTAAAACATGAGTAAAACTTTACAACAAATCACATTGGGCATATTTAACTTTACAACAAATCACATTGGGCATATTTAACTTTACAACAAATCACATTGGGCATATTTAACTTTACACCAAATCACATTGGGCATATTTAACTTTACAACAAATCACATTGGGCAATTTTTGAGTAAAATGGAAGCTTAGTGAGCCTCATAAAGAGTGGAATGGTCTTTGAAGAATCTCCCCACCAGAAAAAAAGGAAAAAGAAAAGGAAGAGAATAAAAATGAAAAGAAAAAGAGGAAAAAAAAGAAGACAGAAAAAAGAAAAGAAAAGCTAAAAAAGATTTCTTCTGAACTTGCCTGATGTTTTGATGAAATGGGACGCCTCATCCAAACCATACCATTTTCCTATCGTTTGCCTCTCTACTGTCCAATCTTCCTTCGTCAGATACAGGAAAATTAAATTAAGATTTCACCTACTTTATTTAGTTAGTATTGTATTTATCTTTTTAATGATTTCCATTAGTTATAAACTTGGACGCGGTGTACTATTGTAAAATTTAGGTAAACTGCGTTCAGGTACATATTAATTCATTTTTCATTTATTCCTATGGAGCCAACTGACTCAGTTTACGAGCTTTAGGTTGACGAACAACCTTTAGGAACTAATTAAATTCATGAACCGAGATTTCATTGTATATTCTTTTAAGTATATAATTTTGTTAATTTCCGTTTCCTTAAAGTGCTATATGCCAGTAGCTCATTTCTTCACAGTATTTTTGCATAAATTTGAAATAATATGGATTACTTTACTTTCAATACCGCTGCAAGAAGATGTAACAAGAATAATTCAACATTGTTTGCTCTAAGTGAATTTTTTTATCTCATTTAGCTATGAAATTACTCATTTAAACAATGGCTTGTATCTTTTACTGCAAAGGATCATAAAAATCCAGATTTCTAAAGGCATAATAAATCCAGAAGTCATTAAGCAAGTAAGTTATATATTTTTTAAAACACTGCTTTGAGTTACATTTCCAAATTTATGCTCGAGAACGGATATACATAAAAGCATGCTTAATGCTTTTAAATAGCAGGGACTAAATTTAATTTTAGGTTTTCACCGCTACGAAGGCCGCAAGTGGTGGTAATTTTATTATGGAGGCATCTAATAGGCGGCAACCGTTACTTCCGATGAGGAGACAGATAATTTTACATCCATGCTTTCTCCAGTATTCGATCCCGTGCCCTTCGGTATTGCAGTCGGCTCCCTTAACAACTATACCGTCTGGATTGCATACTTAAAATTACTAATTATGGTATTTAAAATGAACAAAAATATACAGATCTTTGGATTTTAAGACTAGAACCAATTGTTGAGTTTATTTTCTACTTTTAGAAAAGCTTTTGAAAAAAGAGGAAGGGGGAGAAATAAATTCTTGAAGTGATTTTTAGATAGAAACTCATCTTATTTTTACATATTTATTATGTCAATGGGGAACGTTCAGACACTGCTAATACACTCATAGTTGCCTTTAAGCATAAAATTATGCTACTAATGCACTCATAGTTTAAATAACTGTTGTACGTATAACCATACTACATGTTCACTCAGTATTTGCCTATTATGACTAACTTATTGGAAGAAAGTTTTCCACAACTTTTGCATATGAGAAGAAAATTGTCTTTGAAGTAAAATTTTGTAATAAAGCTCCAGTTCTTACATTATACCTTACTTCGTTTATGATAGTTAACGTGTAACATCCTTATTTTAGTCCAAAGGTCCTTTTCTCCTAAAGGACTATTGTTTTCGTTTTGCGATTTTGTATTGGTTCGCTATAAATGTCCGTTTCACTTTTCAATCTGTTGCCCCAAATGTCAGAGTCCTCCATTATACTTGAAGAAATTAAATAATAAAAAATCTACATAAATGTATGTATATTTCTCACATTGTGATAAAACAACGATACACTGAGCCATCGAATTTTTAATGACGTAATCCTGTTGTAAATATGGGCATGTAGAAGCCGAAATTTGTAATTTCTAATTTGTTTTATTATCGATTTCCTATTTTGTAAAACTTTAACGAATTTTTAATTAACAAACTCAAGGATTTCAAATCGAGTAATGGCAACGTTGTAGAGAAAAACATTTTAATCTCCACCGAGCGGAACTGTGTATCGTAAATTCTAAAGATATGCTCATTTTAAAACTATTTCGCGATATTGCTGTTGAACTGAATTTTATGGTAAGTGCGAAGAACGTGATATTTAATAAATAAATGTAACACACAAAATGTTAAAAAAACGCTCCTTTGGGCGTAATTTAAAATCTGAAACCTTTAAGATTTTTTTATTGTTTACTTTTTTTCCTTGATAAGTGAGAAGATTTTCGTTTTGCTAGTTTTAAAATTATATCATTGCATTGCGTGGTAATATTACGCTGTTAATGATATTACGGTTTGCTATAGTACAGAGACATTAGATATTTTTTGGAAGCAGGAAGAGTGAAAAATGAGCAACTCCAGGGAATCGAACCGCGGAACTCTGGATACGCGTCCAGCGTGCAGACCACTACACCACGAAGGCACGCTAAGAAGGGGGGAGGAATACCTTATATACTCCCCCTTTTAAAGGGCGACTGGAGTTTTTAGGGGACCCAATTGTCAAATCATCATCCACCAGCCTTTTACTTCGGGTGCCACTGTAGAGACATTAGGTATATTTTGGAAGCAGGAGAAGTGAAAAATGGGCAACGCCTTCGCCGGGATTCGAACCATGGACCTCTGGATACGTGCCCAGCGTGCAGATCACTACACCACAAAGGCGTGCTAAGAAGGCGGAAATATCTTATAAGATCTACCAAAGCGAAAGTATGTTTGGAAGTCCATTAAACAAAAGTGGAATTGCTGCAAAAAATGACCTAACCATTATAAAATCTGTTTATCAATTTCACGCTGCTCTGCGGCTGAGGATGAAAACTGTGACTGTGAAGGCTCATATGTTATTGTCTGTAAAGATTGGATGAGTAAACTTGCAAACTCTTCAACTTTTTACAAATCTTCAAATAACAGAATTAGTCCATAATTTTTATACAGTCAAAAGTCGTTAATTCGGACACCCATAATCTGGAATGATCTATAATCCGGACCTCAAAGCTACAAACTTTCTGCGCATGCGTCGCGTCGACCTTTACGGCTGCGAATATGCGTGTGCGCATGCGCAAAATACGTTTACTCATGCACGTTTAATGAGTAACGGACGATATAAGCTAAGCTAAAATTATCTAATTAAGTTAATGTTGCAGATTGTGTTGTTCCTTAATCTTCGAATTAGATCCGGCTTATTATTTTTTGCAGACTGTTAGAGCAATTTTATAAAAGTAAGCTTGAACTTTCGATTATGTCAAATAAAATTTTAAATTTAAATAAATTTAAAATAGTATGACATTACATTTGCAATATGGTTTGATATAGTATGATGTTACATTTGCAACACATGGAGAAATATTCTTACTTTACTCATATATGTCTCATAGCCAAAGTTATCGGATATTCACTACTGATGTTTCTTACGGATACACTTGTGTTACGAAAAGAAAGAATCGAATCTCGCATTGTGTTTGTTATGACTATATACTTCAGCACAAATTCTTTATTAGTTATGGTAAACTTATATTACGATTTTCTGTTGTATGGCCAACAGTTGATGACTGGCAACAGATCTAGTGTGCTTATGATACACAACCAAAGCTTCATTTCAATTCGAAAGCATTCTGTGTGAGATTGAAGTCGGTGCTTTTAATCGGTTTTCAAGAAATGTTCCAAGAAATATTTTTCTTTTAATCCTATTCTTGCAGAGTAATCTTTGTCTAAATCAACCACACAGTTATTTTTTCCATTCTGAAGAGTTGTGTGGCGTGATTCTTGAATAGATTGTCTCTTCGTTTATTTTTGGAAGCTGAGGTTCGAATGGCACTTACTCCATCTTCAATATAGCGACTTATTATATTTTCAATTATTAGTCAGTGACTTATTATATCTTCAGCTATTAGTTAGTCAGCTTAGTGACTTATTATATCTTCCGCTATTAGTTAGTCAGCTTAGTGACTCAATATATCTTCGGCTATTAGTTAGTCAGCCACTTACCACTTATTATAGATTCATTGTTCATTGGTTATCGAAACTGACTGCCATACCGATTGTTCCAGGTTGAAATTCCGGAAAAGACATAAACGTTTTTCAGCATATAATGTCTATGCGGAAAGGAAACATTCAAAATGCACTGCGACCCAAAAGTACTGTCGACAGGTTGGCAGTAGGGGAAGATGGTGATAGATTCTCGGACAGCCACACCCGTGGATTTTATCCCTTTAAATTGGGGCAGAAGCTTAACAGTTAGCAAGGCTGCGTGTTATCTAATACATACCTATGGGAATTCACAGGTGTCCTCCTTGCTTCACCCTGTACCTGTTATAGGCCAGCAAATATAAGATAAAAGCAATTATTGTCGCTACCATCAGGACTGTACAGCAATAGATGCTTGGATGAGCATAAATTTGGCATCTCTCCGTACATTCATGTATATAAAACCCATGTTTAAATGAAATATTTTAAAACATCTCTTACTTTATACAAATACGTTTGTCTAATGGCGCTGTAATAAATATAAAAAAGTCGCCTTATTTATACCTGCCTACTTTTAGATCATAAAATACTTTGAAAATAACTTAGATTTTAGATCATAAAGGGAGAAAAATATTCTATTTGATTCTAATTATTGCATGTATCGCTGTAACTCAAAGGCAACACATGAACGGAGGAAGTTGTCTGTTTGGTCGATTGTAAAACTTCAAGAAAATATGGAAAGGACTGACAGATTCTTTAGAAATACGCTTACAAGCAGAACTCTGTCCATTGCTTTCTTTTTAATATACTAAAAGGTATTTCTCCCGCCTTCCGAGAGTGCCATCGTGGTATAGTGGTTCTGCACGCTGGGCCGATATTCCAAAGGGCCGTGGTTCGATTCCCGGCGAAGGCAGCTGCTAATTTTTCTTCTCTCTGGCCTCAAAATTACCTAAATTCTCTACAATACAAACATTACAAACGGTGATTTCAGCTATTTAAAAAATCTTTTGAATTTTCAATAAGTCTTTTAAAATAATTCAGAAGTTTTTTATGATCACCGTTCTTTGTATCGGAGTTATAAATAAAAAGGATATTCAGTCGTTTGAAATTAAGCATTTTAAAACATTTAAGTCAGCAGCTGTCGTATTACAGTTTTTTAGCATTTTTAAATGGTGTTTTTATTTTAAAGTTTTTAATTTTTCATTCGCATTTTCAATCATGAATTAAAGTTGTACGATTAACATGTATAAATTATTATTGATGATCTTTTGCACTTTTTGGCGGTGACTTAATGCCACACGTGATCGCTGTAAACATATTGTTGCGTGCGTACGGGTTCGTTATGAAATGAATGCACAAGTCCAATGAAAAATGAACAAGAATTTATTATTATCACAACAAAAATGCTTAAATTTTCTCAAATTATCATGCAGTATTTACAATATCTCACAGTAATTATCTTTTAACTACTCAAATATCCAATAGAACGTAATTCAAAACAGCTAAAGAACGCTAATCCGCGAATTCGCTACAATCAACAAGAGCAGTTTTTCTAAACAACAACAAACTAAGCAACTACTACAAAACTGAGATGTTTTCCTCCTTTTATAAGATTTTAAAATCACGCGCTAGAATTTTCCAGTACTTTCTCGAAATCAAAAAGAGATATTTATTTATTTAATGCACGCGCTCTTGTATTTTTAATTTTTCGGCTTAGCTTTCTTCTTTTAATATTCGTCACGCGCTGCACTGCGGAGGAAATAAAACCATTTAATTTGTAATTGAACTAACATTAGCTTTTTAAATACCAAATTCGTAACAATATTTAGTTGTTGTTAAGCTGATTGTTAAGAATTCTTTCCCGGAAGAAAATTCATATAATTTATAAGATTACCTATCATTTTTTTCTTTCAGGCTGAAAATGTCTCGGACCAGATCACTAAACTTGGAGGAAATGTAAATGATCAAAATAAGAAACTTCTGAATGACGTGATTCTTTTTCAGGAAGTAGCTAACGACAAATACAAGCATGGTGCCACGATACCTGGAACATTATAATGACTGCAACATTCTATCACTTTTCTAAGCATTTAAAATTGATTGGAATATCATAATAAAATAACAAGATACTTTTATTATTTGTTCATTTAGCTAATTTGAGTTATACAGATGTGAGTATTCTGGGTGATTTTAGTCAGCTAGTCCGATTAAGACTGTTTTGTCGGTTGTTCGTATTAAAGGAATTATTAAAGAAGTTCTTTATTAAAGGAAAACTGGATAACTTGTTTAAGCATAAATTCATTCCATATTAGAACTAACTATATTTCACTTAAATAACAAATTCGAAAATAATGAAGACGTAAATACAGTTACTAATACGATGATGAACCCTAAAATAGCTCAAGCAGAATTTTTCACGTATATTTTAATCGTCCTGAAAAGTTAAATTATTTATAAATTGTGATTATTTATAATTGAGAGGAGTAAATTAGCATAGGCAAGAAAGCAGTGGCGTAGCGAAAGAGGGGGCAAAGGGGATCTATCAGGCCCCAGGCGGCGCTTGCAGAGGGTGCCAAATCGTCCCCAAGACAAAGAAGATTTCCGGAAAATTTGAATTTTTATTTTGATCGATTTCTAGGAAATAAATTTTAAATTAAAACCTATTATAATATAATTAATTATTTCCTTGATTTGTCTGATAAAATATGTTACAAATAATGTTTGCAGCAAATCAATGAAATATCTCCTTTAGCAAAATATTCTTTCTTGTTTCTTTCTGAACACTTTATTTTTCTAAAATAGTGCACACCTACAACTTACACTTGTTTAAGAAGGTTGCTATTTATGTTTCTGGCCCTGGTAACAGTACTTGTTACTAGGCGACCGCACACAATTCCAATCGAAAGTCTGATATTTAACCATCCCTTTTTTAGAACGTTTTGCCATTTTAGAGTGATTTGTGTTGTTTACAGTAAACTAAAAAAATGGAATTGACTCGTGAACATTTTCATAACTTTCGACGGGGATTATCAAGACAAGAGTGCTTCGATGAACTTAACTCTTTATACAGCGATAAAGCACCATCCTATAGCACTGTAAAAAACTGGTATAGCGAATTCAATCGTCATCGAGTTTTGCTCCAGGACGAATTCCGTGAAGGTCGTCCAAAATCGGTTGTTGTGCTAGAAAATATCGATGCTATGCGTGAACTGATAAAGCAAGATCGTCATGTGACATACGGTGAGATTGAAGCATGTTTGGGCATTAGTATCAAGCATTAGTAAGATATTACATGAACATTTGGCCGTAAAAAAGATTTGTTCGTATTGGATCCCGCATAATCTGACAAACGCTCAAAAGAAGGCGCTTGTCGATTGGTGCGAGGAAATGTTGGAAAAATACTTTCAAGGTGCATCAAATGCTGTATAGTCGACAGCTGTATAAACAGCAGTCGACTACTACTGTATGGGTTTTTCAAGACGAACCAAATCCAACAAAAAGTGGTTTCGCGGAAGAAGCACATCGAAACAAATGGTTGCCTGTTTCTTCGGCATTACCGGTCATGTGGGCAACAGTGGCGTTAGAGTCCGAATGGTATTGACCATTTGTTTGCCAGAAGTTAACTGAGAAATTCGAGAAAAGCAAAAGAAGAGGCGACGAAGCAAATGGTTGCCTGTTTCTTCGGCATTACCGGTCATGTGGCAACAGTGGCGTTAGAGTCCGAATGGTATACGACCATTTGTTTGCCAGAAGTTAACTGAGAAATTCGAGAAAAGCAAAAGAAGAGGCGAAATCATTCTTCGTCATGACAATGCGAGTCGTTACACATCAGCTCAAGCAAAGAAATTTTTGACGGACCGAAGTATCGAATTGATGGTTCATCCGCCGTACAGCTCTAATTTGGCACTCAATGATATATTTTATTCCCGCGCATCAAAAATAAATTACGTGGTCTGCGATTTGTGACACCTACAGAACCGGCTGATGCATTCAAAACACATGCTTTGGAGTTACCTCAATCGGAGTGGAAAGTGTTTCGAAAAATTGGTTCAAATGCATGCAAAAGTATATTAGTCTTCATGGAGAATAGTTTGAAAAGAAAATGAAACCAGTTTCGATCATAAACATATGATTTTTCATTATTAGGTCAGAAATATAAATAGCAACCCTCGTATATTATACTCTCTTCGACTTTGAACTATTACTAATTCGGCGGTCAAACTATAAAAATCAACTAATAAGTGATATCAAAAGAAATCAATATTATGTACTTTTATTTGATTTAACTCCTGATATCGCTCATTAAGAACAATGTCGCAAATCTAGGTATGTAGGCATTGATTTTACCAGCAAAAAAGTTTCTGTCTAAGAATCTTTTTTCGGGATTTACTGAAATACATGCTAAAGAGGCAACTTCAATTGAAAATACGATTTTAGAAAAATTAAATTTCGATCAGATTTCATTAAAAAACTATACATCATAATATTATGATATCGCTACCATGATATCAGGTCACATATCTGGCGTTCAACAAAGAATTATAGGCAAAAACTAATGAAACTGTATTTGTAAACCCTGATAACCACACACTAAATTTAGTCGGAGTTAATGCAACTAAGCAAAATCCAGTCGTTCTAACATGTTTTGGAATAACTGAAAACGAATAACTCTTTTTCTCAAGTTCATCATTACGATGGGAATTAGAACGTGCTTTAAAGAAAACTGTTAAAGATGAATCTAAAACAAGATGCAGTGATAGAGCAAAAGAGGTTAGTGGGTTTTTTTTTTTTTTTTTTTTTTTTTTTTTTTTTTTTTTTTTTTTGTTTTTTGTCGATGGGCTGGAAGAATTAGTAAAACTATTAGAAAAATTAGCAGAGAACAGTACCATAAATGATACCAGAAGTGAATCTAAAATTTTATTCTAAAATACGCTGAATTTTAATTTCATAAGTCCATTTTTGCAGGAACTCCTGAGGAAACCTGATTGTGTGCAGCTCAGATGACAAGATCCTAAAATGAATTTTAGAGAAGTGTTGTATGCTGTTGTATCATTAGAGACAGCTTACAGAAATTCGAGACGAGATCTGTAAAGAAGCAATAGAAAAATTTAAGTCTCTTTGTGAAAAATGGGGTATTAATACAACAGTCCATGTTAGAAGACGCCGTGTTAGAAAGGAACACGATCTCTGTTTAGAAAAACAGAAAAACATCTCCAGAAAAGCATCTCCAGAAGTGCTTCCTTCACCTCCAAGCAAGAAAAGCTGAAATGAGACGCCATAAATATTGACTGAATCATCCTGCATATTCTTTCGGCTTTAAAACACCTGCCGGCTAGCGAATCACATTTTTATTTTAAGCTTTCAAATGGCAGGGAGGGGGAAACATTTTTCTATCCTATCTATAATCCTGTACTTATTTGGAGTGGCATGATATACATAAATATGCTTTTTGTGTGTGGTGTGGTGTTTTTTTTTTTTTTTTTTTTTTTTTTTTTTTTTTTTTTTTTTTTTTGTTTTGTTTGTTTGTTTGTTTGTTTGTTGAAAATTAGTTTAGCGAATTATGCATTTCCTTTACTTTCGGTTTTGATCCAACTTGTTATTTTGTTCATTCTATTATTATTATTGCTATCTTATGAAAATTAAAATTTTAGTAAAGGATAATATTTATGCTTTACTCGTTCCTCGAAACTTTACATTCATCAATCAGAATAATTTAGTTTTACGTAATATTAATTTAAAGTTTAGCCGTGTACACTTGATTTGAGTAACTGAACACTATAGGATCTTAATTTCTGTTAGTTTTACTACTAGTAGTAATTTTAATTTGTAAGCCTTTCATGAATTCTCTTATTTCTTATCACATTTCCTCGCCAGGATGAGAATTAAGTAGGTGAACGAGAGTATTTAAACGGTTGGGAAGAAAAGGTTTCACACTCGACCGATCATGCTATATGCAGTGCCGGCATGGGCAATCGCCAATAAAACTGAGCGCAAAAAATTGGATATACTTCAAAATAAAATTCTACGTAGCATTGTGAATGCACCTTGGTACGTGAGAAACTCTATAATTCATAACGACCTGGATATTCCATCTGTGCATAATTTTATACTCATGACAGCTCACAACTTCTTCGCGAAGATGAAGCATAGTCAGTAAAACGCAATTAAACAAATGCTGGATTATGATCCAACCATTGAATATACTGTCAAACGCCCAAGGACAATTCATCACAATTCGTTATGGTGGTAACTTGTAAAATTTAATTTTAAAATTTACTTGAACTCTAATTGGACTCTATCCTATTATTTGTGTTGCATCTTATACTTATGTTAATCAAGAAAATTTTTTATTCAAGATTTTTATGTTACTATTTCATTTTTTAAATTATTTAGTATGAATTTTTACTTTATCGTATGATTCTACGAACTTTTGAACTTTTTACGGCCTATCTAACTACTGCTACTTCTGAAGGACTTTGAACTCTTATGCCATTCACAGCTTCAAACTGGTCTTCGCGCCATTTTCATGATGTCTCACTAGCTTATCCTGCATTCTTACTAGCTATATTGAGCTCAACCACCTGCATTTGCCATACAACTCACTGAACCTGCCTACATGCTTCAATTTAATGCCATTGCTTACCCACTGCACAATTTTTATGATGAACGCCTACTTCGTAAGTATAAAGATATGCCTGCTCACGCAGCTGAATTTTCTTCGCTCACGGGTGTTGGTACTTCCCTAGTACCATTTATTTGAAAATATCTTTGCCTAGTGCACTTTAATGCGATTTACTGGCAAAAACTCTTTAGTAGTTAATGACCAGAAAAAAGTAAGTCATAAGTCATAAAGGTTTCACACAGAGTGATTTCGCTAGTGAAAGCGCGCGCTTGCTAGTTGTTCTTCAGCTATTAATCTTGTAGTCTAGCACTACATCTCTACCTTTTGAATTTATTGTTATTACATTATTGTTTAAGTTTTCACCACAAGTGAGTGGTGTTTTAGTTATACGCACGTAAGACGAGCCATCTGTTAATTAGTTTGTAATAATAAAAAGGCTTTTACATCCTTTCCCTGTTGTGTTCATCTTTATGTCTGTGCAAGAAATCGGAAGGCTGATACTCAAGTAAATCTAGTTACCATTTCGCGATCGCCAAACATACTACATCCTACAACACTATGAAAATAAAACTAGGTGAAAATAAAACTTTATCTATTAGGTGATAGCGTAATGAGAAAAAATTGAGCAATAAAAACTGTTAAAGAATGGCTGTAACTTTTCCGCTGTAATTTTCCCGCCGTTTTAAACGAATATCGTTAATCTCGTTAAAATTTTTAACGTCAAAAATGTTAATAAATTTTAAATTGGTAAATTATCCGCGTATGAATGTTTTATGCTTTTGAAAAGCTTAGCAAAGCGAACTGATTTGATCACCAAAAAGAAATTTATCTGGTTGGAGCAAATGACGAAACTTGTGAGTTGTAAAAATACTTGCACTGTATGCATTTCACACTATAAAGGCGAAGGGGAAAGAATTTTAAGCGAAATTAAATCTGAGGTAGGAAATGTCATTTTATGATTTTGGATCATTAATGTCACATGGCAATAACATTATAGTTACATTTCGAAATTTAAGGGTCTTAACAATTCATGAAATACTAAAGCCTGGTGCAAAATTCTCCCCCAAAGAGTAATAGTGCCTTATTCTATTTCTTATAGGTAATCTAAATTTTATAACCTTCAAAACTCATTTTTTCACCCTATTATCTTTAGTAAACAGGTTGGGGCTGTATAATGTGACCTGTTATATTACTTCGTGTTTAATTTTTCCTCCAACCACCATATTCATGCTGAAAGCATTAGTATGTCAGTTAGATTAAAATTAATTATAGAAGGCTAAGTTCAAAGAAATAAAATTTTGAGCTGATTTCCCAGATGAGTTTTATTTGTAGTTTTTCTGATTTAAAACATACATGTTAATTGAAAGAAAAAAAGTTCATCTATTCATTGCATAATTTAAATCTCTAGAATAAGATTTGTTTTCCTTATAGAATCAATCAAATAAATCAAATTAAAGAATATGTACAATATTATTTTTCGTTTCTTTGATTCAGAGCAAACATTATTCACAGACATATATATTCTATTTAACACACATACATTACGATCATCATTTCTGACATTCTACTGATTAACATAATATTTTAAATACGTGAATATTTTACTATATGAAGCATATCTTTTCGATCATGTATTACATTTGATGTGCACATGAAGGATTTATAAATATAATTTTACCGGGTATCTTCTTTAAGAGGTCTTAACTTTTAACCTTCCAAATGTTTGCATTCAAATCGACATCGAGAATTAAATAAAATATCATAATCATCCTCAAGAAACAATGAAACGCAATTTTTTTCTATTTTCGTGATATGAGTTTATGTAAAACTCTTCAACTACTAGGAATACAGTCATTGACGAAATGTTCAGTATTACGTGCAAGCATTAACAAAAAGGATATACCGTAAATAAGATCCATAACTTAAATATGAACCATATTTATTATTTAACTTATTTAGCACGAAAATATTTATCACTAAGGTGAAATTAGTGTATGATAGTGAAACCATATTGGTCTTCTTCACGCAGCTAAGCTTGTTCAGATTCCAGAAAAGTAAACCATTAACCACCTTACGGCATTAAGGAATTAAAACTTTTCTCTATTCTGTTTCCTATTTTTTTTTTTTTTTTTTTTTTTTTTTTTTTTTTTATATTATTCCTTGGCATTTACTGTTTTACAAAATAATCGAAATGAACTCTACGTAATTAATATATTTATAAACGTTAATATTAAAGAACTTTTCATTTTTATACTAATTTAATAATTAACTAAAATGATTGCTTTAAAATCTTGAAAATTTTTATTGCTTATAATTTATTTGTCAGTAGCTGTCAGTATTTTTTTAAGTAATTAATGCGTTCTTTATACTGTGGTTATGGCTTTTGGCTTGGTCATTTGTTGTAGAACGTTAGTTTCTTCTGCTTGCTCTGTTATCACGCTTCTTTCTTGTTGACATACGCGAAGGAAAATCCATAAATATTTGTCCCGATCTTGTTCGTCGATGAGGCGAACTGCAGATGAAAAAAAAAAAATTAAATGTAAAATTAAAATCACACTATCTATACCGCTTACACAGCAGTACTTAGAAAGATATACACTACCATTGTTGTAAAATCTTGAAAGGCAAGTCTTATTATTGTTTTAGGACTCAGTTGCTTAAAATGAGCAATCAGATTATATCATTTGAGTTTTTGAGATAATACTCTTGTTATTCAGAATGTAGACTCGATTGCGCTTTTCAAAACAAGAGACGTAAAAAATAAGTAATGCCCACACCAGGATTCTAACTACAGACCTCTCGACTGCTAGCCGGACATTCTTTCAATTTTACCATGAAGGCACGCGCTAAGGAAGAATAAAAGTCCTTATATTCTCTCACACTTAAAGGGCGACTGGGAAGAAGAGAACCCGGGCCTCAAATCCTGGTTATAACGAATTATTTTCCGCCATATTATAGCGCAGCCATCATTTGCAAAAAAATTAGGTATTTTTATAGCTCAAAATAGAAAAAAACGGCAGTGATTCAAACTGTAGATCTTTCGACTGTTAGCCGAATGTACTTTCAATATCATTATCAAGTCAAGCAGTAAGAAACAGGAAAATTCGTTATATTCTCCTCCATTTAAATTGTAACCGGGGAAGAGAGAATGCAGCTGCCAAATCCAGATGCTAACGAACTATCATCCACCATATTAAAGTCTGCTATTAACTTGTAGACCAATTTTGATCCTTTTAGAGCCGGAAACACGCCAAATCTGCAATGTCATCTCCGGGATTCGAACTTCTTAGTTTTATTTTACTAGTTATCCCTGCCTACAGTTACAGGGATACACACTGTATTCTTGTAAAGGAGGTCGCTAAGCTTGTTTGTGAAGGAGAAAATTCTTTACAAGGATACACATGAGTATTTGGACCGAATTGCTATTGAATGGTAAGATTAGTTGCAAGTAAGCAAACGTGTGAAAACGTGCAAGCAATCCTCACCTTTTTCTTGTTATTGAAAAAGGTGTTGAAAGATTTTTTTAATTGCAAGAACAGTACAAATTGAATTCCAATGAGTTCATATGCATTGTAGGTTCGTGTGTTCAGCTACTAATTGTGTAATGTATGTTGAAATTCTGAGTAGTGATAAAAACCAAACAATAACATTCATTTAGAAGCTTTGAAAGTGTAAGAGAGAATAAAATAGGAGGAGATTTTAGTATTTCTTTTCTCTGAGAGTGATTCTCAAACGTATAATAATAGAATAAAATGCACGAAAAGTATTTCCATTTGTCCAAAATTGTTACGATAAATTTCTTGTAAAGAATTTTTTGAGTTACCTTTAGACAGTTTTAAAACGAGAATAAGACTATTTATGGATTATGAATCCATCTTTACTGAATAAAACTTAGACTCATAAATTTCACAGGGAAAAAATTTGATTAACTGAGCATTCATTTTCATATGAAATCGCTGAAAAGTAACTGTATTAAGATTTTAATTCGTAAAGAATACGTATGAAAAGCAATTCTTTCTTTCCATTCAACTATATAAGAAAATTAGAATATTTTTATACTTCTCTGAAGCCTAATACTGAATATCTTATTTTTTAACTTAAATTTATACTTCAAGAATTTTCCGCAGAACATTTTATAATTTTGCACAATGAAGTACTCTAACGCCTAATTTTTAGCGAACATATAGGTGTGGGAAGCTAAGTATAACTAGGAGTCTGATCATTTCATTTTTCAGTGTTATTAGCTTATATTTATTAGATAAATATTCAGCATTTTTATAGTACAATGTTTATTGCTGTATATGTTAATATGTTTATTTGCTGAATAAAATTATGTAGTTAATTCACCATAATATGAGAGATAAATTAATGGCAAACTTAAATATGCCAAATATGTGATCCTTAATATTAAAAACATGTTACCTTTAGGTTATAGAAAAAAATGAAAAGCACTTAATTAGGCATACACAAAAATTATATGAACAATCAGTAGACTAGTTCAATCTCTTTTGTATTAAAAGAAAAATATTATTCTTTATTTTCTGTGCATCAGCTTAAGATACATATATAATATTTTAAGTATTCATAAAAGCATAAAATTTTACTTACGAATAAAAAGGTTCATCTCTCTCCCTGTGGTTGATCATACTGTAAAATTTGCTCATTAGACATACCCCTACGAAAAAGGGCAATCCAAAAACAATTACAGTAAGAATACACTTCAGAAGGTAATATGGAGCCGAGAAAGATGTAATTATTGCAAAACACTAAAACATAACAGGAAATGATGACATTAACATTAAATACACATATTTACAAAAGTATGCACATTCAGTTATTTGAAATTAAAAAGTAAGAAATGAAAAGTAAAATCAGAATTAGAAATTTAGAAATTACATGCTGAATATGGAAATTCGCAAAACTGAATTTCGTGTTTCTACCACACGATGTCTCTCTGTCCTTTCGAGAAGCTTCACAGTACCATGTTGAGTTAGTGAGCGGACGCTAAGATGGCTTACGACCACGGAGAGAAAGCAAATGGGATTATATACCATCACAAAAAAAAAAAAAAAAAAAAAAAAAAAAAAAAAGAGGGAAAATCTCCGAAGTAACAATAACAGTTTCTGTATTTTACAAAGTCTTTCTTGTCTAAAATAAACTCATATTAATTAATAATCGTTCTGAATATCTGAAACAATCGCTCAAATTTATACTTCTTGCTGCACGAAAACAAGCCTAACTATTCTATGATAAATGTACGAATAGTTCTTGGATTATTTAGCTTGATAACTGCAGACTACTAGCGTTATTTTGATTATCTGCTTTAAATTCTGATCATTTCGAAGCTAATATTATTCAGTTTCTGCTTACGCAGTGTCTTAAGATTTTATCTATTTTTAAGACAAATCTATTTTTGAGTGTGTTGGAAGTCCACGTTGCCCAGACACAGTTCACTGGTTTCTTTAAGTTCCAGATTCTTGTGTTAACGCAATGAAACTAATAATGGTCCGTGCTACTTCCCTCTCCGCACTCGCAAAAGGGAGTATCCCTAAGTCTGAATCTGTTAAGGTGTACTGGAAATGGAACATGAACCTATCAAGAATTAGGTTAGCACGGTGGGTCTTGATTTCCATGTTAACTTTTGGCAATAAGCGAAATGTCCTACTTCAGCCTCTGATCATGTACTTTGCCAGTTTCGTAGCAAGCTTATCAAAGTCGTTCTTTTAATGTGAGTCCAAGGAAGTTTAGTTGTTTTTTCTAGTAATTTCGTATCATTCATTAGCTGCCTGCTTGATCAGGTCAGGGACTTCATTGCCTTGAATCTTTGCATCTTAAGATTCCTGACATGTGGCATCCAGAAAAGTCTGTCATCGAGTATTAGCCCAAGATATTTCACTTGGGGAAAACGTTTTACCGGTTTTCCATGTAGTTTAACACATGGGTTTCGTCCAAGCTGTCTGCTGAGTCCTAAGAGTAAAGCTTTAGTTTTCTGTGCCGAAATCTGAGTTTGTGTACTCTGGTCCGTTGGAAGAATAGATCCAGACAGCACTGAGCTCTCATTTCGAGGTTGCTCCTTCCTGTAACAATTAGTATAAAATCGTCCGCGTAGGCTATAATTCGAGCATGTTCTACGCTCTCGAACTGACGAAATGCAGAGTTTGGCAGCATATTTTACAAGGCATGATCCCTTACCATGTCGAGTATAAATTGCTATATTATGGTAAATTTAAAAACTTTTAAATATAATTTCATTTTATGTATATTCCTCAGTTTGTTACTTTATATTTCCTTACTATCCATATTTTTTTCTATAGTGCTGTTCTTAAGCATAATTACCTTATAAGACAGCGACTTCCACTAGAGCAATTAACTCTAAAAAGAGCTACTCGTGTCAAGAAATTTGAGAAGTACTAATCCAAAGTATTCAAATATCTACAACTATACAATTATTAAAGTTTGCTATTAATCTAAAGTTGCCAAAGGCTTTGTAACTACTTATATTGATATACAAAATTAACTCGACTTTCTAAAATTTTGGTTAGGCAATAATTAAATCGTAATACTTTAGCCTAAAGTAGTTCCATTTTATTATTTATTTGATAGTTTAAGCAATATTTTTTATATGTGATTATTCACAATTAGAGGGTTTTAATGTTTCCTTAAATTCTTGTTTTAGACTCGGATCCCAAGAAGATTATTACAGTTACATATTCAAACAAGAGTTATATGAGGGGAAAGATAATTCAGTACTAATTCACAGATTACCAACTAAGAATCTCGAACCTCCATTCAAGTTCTTTGGCTAACTGATTGCTGCATATAGTCTGCAACTTTTTGCGGAAGGCTGGGAAAAAAATCATACTTCTTTTCTTCAGTGGTAAAAGCCGGTAAAAAAATTGTTCATCGGAAACAGACGGATTGAAATTACTTTGTTTTACATTCCGAAAAAGCACTTAATAGCTATCTGTCTATGAGGAAGGATGCCTTCGAGGAAAGATTACTAAGAGAAACTGGAACATATTTGTGTTACACATAGATAAAATCATACCCATGCAGCCTGCCTGTTCACCGGAATTTGTACCCTGGTCCATCTACCAGTGTTCAACCATTTGTCCACTCTACCGCTGGGGGGCCAAATTATCTTTATATACATAGTCTTCAAAAATTTCAATTAATAATACCTTCCAGGTACTTTTAATTGTTGGAAGGCCTAATTTTTTTCATTTTATTTGATTAATGCAGCTGTAAAAAAAAACGCTTTCCTGACTGATATTTTTTTCCCACAGGAACCAGAAAAAGATTTAATATCTTTTTACTAAATAATACTGCGTAATTTAAACAATCGTATCTGAAGGCCTGCCATATTTATTCCATCCTTTAAACTAACACTATAAATTTATGATAAATCATTCAAGGCTTTATCAGTCGCAAAGTCTGCTACCTACCTCATTTATTTCTTTTAATACTTTCCTCTCACGATAAACAAGATCTTAGCATAAATATAATTCATACTTCCATATTCACTAAGCACGGTGGATGGGTAGGTTCATTGACTGAAAAAGCAAAGCAATCCGAGAGCTATCTGCCTGAAGAAAAGGATGCCTTCATTGAGGAGTTCCTAAGAGAAAATAGCTCATATTCACGATATGCCTGGAAAAAACACGAAGATCTCTATGCAGGCTCATCTCATTCACTAGGATTTGAGCCTGGCTCAAACAATCGGTATTCATTGATCTTATCCACTCGATCATTGGTGAGCCTAAGTGTGGATGAATACGGTTTCTGGGGAATGATCTTGATTCTGTGATTTTATTTTTTCCACTAACTTATTAGAGCCGATCTTAGAAAACGTCGCCGTTGCAATATCATCATTATTCTTTTTTCACTGATTGTGAACAGTTAGTGTAATCCAGTCTATTAATCTATACAAGGACAGATGTGGTGGTCTCTTTATTACGGAGGCACCTAATAGGTGAGCCACCATCGCCTCGTATGAAGGGGACGGACAGTTACAATGCCTTCTCCATGATTCAAACCCAGGCCCTTCGGTATCGCAGTCAGCTTCCCTAATCACCATACCGACTGGGCGGCGCATCATTATACTTCTTGCTAAATTAGGTACTAAAGATGTCTTCTATAAATCTCTCAGAGATATACTGAAAGATGTAGAGGTAATTGGAAGCAATAATTCCTACAGATGTATGTTAAAACTTAATTGCTGGGTGTTATTTCCTTCCTTTCTCTTTGCATATGTAGTATTAATCGGCCCCTAAAACCTGAAGAACTTTCTCAGTAATGAGATAGCTAAATGACAGTTGATCTGTGCCATTCCCGATAAATGCTTAAAGGGCCTGGACATTGGAAAAGCAGGTAATTAAATTAATTTATCAGATCTGTGCTTTTCTGCCTAATATCACAACTGGAGGAGACTAAATGTTTTAGCAGATTTCCTTATTTGCAGTCGGACAGCATTGGTTTCCTGTATAAATAATAAGTTTGGATTTCGACAATTTATATGAATTTTCGTAATATTTGGATTGTCTTTACCTTTTTAGCAATATCTTATTTAAACGATTTCGAGTTAATTTTGCTATTCTATGCATTCTTAAGTAAAAAGCGAAAATTAAAAAATATATATATATAAAACAAATATTACTTACATCTATCAATACATGCCTCCAACATATATTGCTTGCAGAATAATCTTTCGCTTTAGGCAGCATGAAATTAATGGTTATTGACGTTACGATAGTTAAAATAATCCTTGCAGCGGCTAAAAATGCTAAATTCAGTTTTGAATACGCAGCATATTCAGCTCCTATCACAGCAAAATGTGTTGCATTGGAAAAAAAAGCAGTCAGATAACACACAATATTAACAGCAAAAAATCTGGCTTTAGCATATCTATAGATTTCTTTCAAGCAATAATCCATGTTTTTCCATAAATTTCAGGGTTTTTTAGTAACTGAAAAATAAAAAATCAATGTTCAGTGCACTGATAAAGGAATTAAAATATAAATATGGTGTATAGTCCTTAAGCACCAAAATTACTTTTGAACGCAGAAAGTTAGAGTTGTAGAAGGTATGTCTATCAACGGTAAAACGACTACGAACCATTAGGAGTTGGTGATCTTGCAGCGAAACCTATAAGGGCTAGCGAAAAAAATACCATCACTTCCACAACTATCATTTTCTTGGTTCATAAGCTCTTTCAGTGTTAAAGATTTTACTATTCAGTTACTTAATTACGTTTCACAAATTTCTTACCTGTTAAACAGAGGTTACAGAAGACCAGGTTCCCTAATGTGTTAACATATCTGGCAAAAGATAAAAAAAAAAAAATTACATTAAAATTTTAACCTTAAAGATTATAAAATATGAATATAATATGAATTGAAATAGGAAATAAATTGGCCTCTTGCTTGTACATGAACTTACAGAATATGGATTATCAAAAGAAGAGTATTACTGAGCAGTAAATAAATAACTAATTATAATAAATTAACTTAAAAGAGAAATTAAATGCAATATAATAAAGAAGATGAAAAAATAGTAAGTACTTTATTTCAAAGATGTCAGCCCCTCCCCACACACACAGGCTTATTGTTTGCTCACATAACGTATTTTTCTACCATAAATCAGAAGTTTCCAAATCAAGTGCTGAAAAACGCAGGCGAAAACTGGTTGATCCAAAAGCTACAGAAATAATTAAATGTCACTAATTTGAACAGCAGAGTACAATTCTTTCGAAATTTTCATTGGCGACATTACCTTACATAATTTTTTTCACTCTTTAAAGATTAAGTATTATTATTCCATTTGAATTTTCCTTTTGAGTAAGACACCACGACGTAAGTTTTTTGATTTATTCGCAACATTTGTAAAATGAGCATATGTGCATTACATGCAAATCAAACAAATTTACACAGATTTATTTAAAATACCATAACCAACTGGTCATCCTCTCTCCCCGAAAGTCAATCTCTAACTAAACTCTCTCATTCACATAGAAACGGCACCTAGTTTTCAATTTAGCATTTCTGAAGACCAGGCACTATAAGTTCTATCCATGAGGGTATGCAAAACATTTATAACAATTGGCATTTTATTTTAATATATATATATAATAAAAAAATATGTATACTATATATATGCATCAAAATAACATCCAAAACTATGCATGTCACACATACGATTATGAATAATTTTAAATCATCTCTCCATTGGCATCGGGGGAGATCTTATTGTTTGGCGATTCAAAGAAACGCTATACTTAATTCTTTCTATTACTTTATCACACATAATCTAATTACAATGTATTATCATAATTTAAATAATATTATATCCACACCTTGTAAATCTTTCAGTAAAACCACACTCTGCACTTTCAACTAAGCTGAAACTTTTTGTACAGCTTAGTGCTCGTACAACTTCGATATCTACACACACACACACATATTTACACACGCAAATACATATATGCATGGAAATCCATCTTAATATAATTTAAACTATACATAAAAAATCACTGAATACAGTTTTATACTTTAATCAAACTATGTCAATATTATCCATTAAAATAAAATAAATTGATAAACAACTATGTTTATTTAACCTTAAAATGCAACTGCCTTATGTTACATTCTTTTTTGTGTAAATTATAAGTTTTGTAAATCTAAACTACTAGCAGCACAGCATTTTCCATTAGTAAATAAAGAAATTTTATACAATTTCGCACTGATTAAAAATAATCTTTGCAAATGCATGACATATCTATTCAAACACATGTATATAGCTTAAAAGCATTAAACATAATGAGAGAATTTTGATGAAAAATAAATTTTGTATCTTAGACACTTATTATTTTCTCTTTAGCTTTTAAAGCTATATTTGACAAAGATTTTGCTCTTAAATCTGTTTAAAAAAATTTTCTACTTCAAGTGATAAATTTCGATTCAATATCTCATTCCCATGTAAACTTTCAACAGTGCTTACCAGTCTATATAATCCGCGGAGAACTTTTATGGTTGAAAAATTGTAGGCATCCTAGGAGATTGAGAATGAAGTTTTTGAAATGGTCTTCGTTTTAAAGATTTAAAGAAATGAACTTAACGTAGAATACCAATATAAAATGAAGGAAACTGACAGAATTATTTCTGATGCCAAAAACATGATATCAAAATTTTTATTTCTCTTTCAAATACGCATGATTTAAGTAAACAAATTTTGTACACTGAGAAAATTTATTCCCTAGTAGCAAAATAAAATTCCGTAAATTTTCACTAAAGATCGTGTTTTAAACATACATTTTAAGTGATCAGCTCTAGATATTGAACTCAACCATAGTTACTTTTCATTAATTAATTTTCAGTAAATATTTGAAAATATGACAAGCAATTGATGGCATCGGTCTGACTGTTCGCAGATTTCATTTTCAGGCCAGATTCCTCGTGTTTGCAATTACCTTCCTTATTTTCTTTCGTCTCAGTTTTGTAAGCTTTTGGTTTAGATTTGGCAACACACATATATTATTGATATAGATATACGTATAATGAAATGTTTTGATGTCCCAAGCTTAAAAAAGTTCATTTACCTCTTAATTTTATCAAGCCAATCTATAATTATTGAAAACGTCAAACTTCAAGTTCGCATTGGCGATATTTTTCCCACTAAGAAGTTTATCAGAGTCGAAGTTCGCAAGGCTTTATATGAGATCCTCTGCTTTTTAGCATCTATATTTAAGACATTCTGGACTATGTCCTGGTGCGGAAGCTTTTAATTATGCAGACGACAGTGTAATGCTTTTCACATCTTTGAATCTTGAAAATGTCATTTTAAATTTACAACATTTTGTTAGTATTATTTCTAACCGATTAATATAGAAAATCAAGTGAAATGCGAGCAAGTATAATGTTATTATTTTTAAATGATATAATAAATATCGATTAATTGATCTAAGATCATTCATAGAGCAGTTCTTCCAGGTGCTCAGCCATATAAATCCTGGCTCAATCCTAGAAGACGCGCACAAATCAAGACATTGTTTACTTGGCTCGGGCTTGGACACGTCTTTTTATGACGTAATATTGGATACGCCTCTTTTTAGAAAAAGTTGTAGTTATGTTCTAGCTTCATATTTAAAGAAAATTTAAATTATATTTTAACTGATTGAAATGCTAGGTTTAAAATGTTCGTGCGTGAGATATTTTTAATATAAATCTATATGTAGCTGGTTAAGTGTAAGAATGGTTTTATACTATCTGAGTTAAGAATAACTAAAAAGACTGTCACAGGTTGGTTGAAGGCACGCCGAGTCATTTTTAGAAATAATTAAAGCAAATATTTTTCCCGGATCATTTGTGATTTTTAGCTTGCTGGAAAGCGTTCAGCTCCTTCGAGGCGAAAATATAAGCATTATCCCTTGAAAGAGAAAAAAAGCTTGCGCTTCAAAGATCAGGACACAGATATATTCGGCTGAGACCCAGAACTAAAGACTCATGTGCAATTATGTCACTTGTATCAGGCCCCTGGGCTTAAGCCACATCCTGAATAGCATGAATAAGTTCATAGTTGAGAAAAGAATTTCCCAGTGCTGCGTGAGATGAGTCTTTCGTATATTCGAGTTACTCCGCTGGCCTACGTCGTTGGGATAACTGCAAGAATGCTGCTATTTCAGTGAAAAATAAGCAAAGATGGTAAAATATTGCAGTGCTGCCAGGCATTCGAAGTAAAGAAAGTCATATTCTTTGGCCGAAGTCCATAAGGAGGTCCAAATAAAGTAGAGCCAATGATGAGCCTGGAAAGTAAGTACGAACCCTAGCGACGTCAGGCATTGGTAGGTGGGAGGAGCTATAGGTGAATTTTTAGTGAATGGTATTGGTAGTGGTATTCGGAGGGGAAATTAGATGGCGCCACATGAGTGTGCAATAATAAGAGTATATGGGAATGGTTCTAAGAGTTAAACCTAGATGGCGACACATAAGTATTGAAATTTGGGTCTGAAGGAATAATTGAAATCAGGAAGATCAAGAACTGAAATAATAGGTGGTCTAAACATCTATTGTAACATTAGTGTGGGAAAATTAGTTTTAGTTGTAAAATTAGTACAAGGTAAAATATTGTAAGAATAACAGGGTAAATATAATCATAAGATCAGTGTTATTACTCTGAATTGCTGGCGATTTCGTCCATAATTTTAAAGAACATAAACATTCTATATGTTGCATCAGTGAGCGTCCTAAGCTTGTGTAAATATTTTTTGATTATATTATTCATAGTAGCAATTTTGTTGGGACCAAATATCTCATTTAGCTCAGATACATTCTTAACAAAGCTTACAAAGTCAGATACTTGGTTTTTATATGTTCTATTAAGCATAGAATTTTTAGTACTATTATTAGTGTTGTTTTTAACTTTAGATTTAACATTGGAAGTACTAATTTCATCCTGTTAATATCGTTCTGTGTAGCAGAAGATGACTGGTGGACTTTTACCGTCGGTTTAGGGTTATAATGCTTGGTTTGGCGTCTTGCCATTTCTGCGAAGGAAAGTCCATTTCTGACTTGGTTATCTTTTCTTGGCTGAGAAGGTTTGTTTGTTCGGAATCGAGGGCATCCACAATAGGACGCTGATTTTGAGAACAGTTGCTGCACTTTGGATTTTCTATGCGCCCGGGCTTAGGGTAGTCCTTGTTTTTGTGAACGAGTGAACATTTTACGCATGGAGGTGTGAAGAAACAATTTTCAGAAGAATGGTGCCACAGCTGACAGTTATAACATTGGGGCACTTAATTTTTCGAGACAAACTTTTCCACTTCCACCGAGAAAAGCAGAAGGTCCTTAAGATGGTATATGTTGTCAGAATTCTCATTATTGATTACTTGAACCATGAATAGCGGCATTGGAGCTCTCGTTCTTCTCCTGGTGAGCTGAGTAACTTTGGCAATTGCTAAACCTCTAGCGGTCAGGGCGTTAATAATGTTCTCCATTTTGGTCGACGAAGCAATTCCTCTTATAACGACTTTAATCGGTCGATCATGCTTGGAATTAATTACATAATGCTGTATGTGCTTATTTTTATACAGGGTAGTGGGCATTCAGTGATCTTCCGGGCTATGTGGTAGAATTTTTAGCAATTCCCCATTCACCTTTCTAAGAATTTGGCGTCCGTGGTGTTAGCTAGCTCTTTTAGAAAATCCTCGTGCGTTAGTTTGCTTGAATTGACCATAATGGGGGAACAACCTGAAGGCTGAGGGTCATTTGCTGCTGCACAGCCTGAGTAGCTGGAGTATCATTATTATTATTATCAGTGATCATTTTTTCACTTAGTACATTAAAGTGATTGCTGGTTTCAATATTCTCACTAGCTTTTTCTAGCTTTTGGAGTTTAACCGTTTTAGTAGCTAATTGGAAGCCATCATCATCAGTATTTTTTTGGATTTGCACTTAATTTACGTTTGCTATTTTACTTCCAAATTTTTTCCCTGTTTTTTTTATTTAGGTAGAGGGTTAATGCCTGACGAACTAGGAAAGTTGCACTTGCCTCTTAATGCATCTGCTTCGGCTTTCAACTCCTTCAGAACTTTAAACATCGGGGCGGTAATAACGTCCTCTTCTGTAACAAGACGGCGTTTCTAGTAGTATCTAACACTGGCTCGTACCGACTCGATCTCATCTTCTATCTCCTTACGCTTTTGACTTTTAATCTCCATTTCTAAGTCCGAATTTTCATTTTCCGCCAGTGATCCAGAAATCGTGTCGAAAAGACCAACACAGCTTTCGCGGAATTGAGCTGCAGTAAAAAGGCGACTCACGTCAGCGTTGCCATAACCATTGCTGCCGTTAGACGTAATTGCTTCGGCTGGCTCTGACATATTCGAGCAACCTATACATCCACGAAGGATCAGGACCGAATTGCCTAGATACTGAAATGAAGGTAAGTTTTATTTATTATTATTGGCTAAAGTGAAGTATGGGATGCTCGTCAAATTTGCTAATTTCGTTATTAGGTAATGACATTGTTATGGTAGATTAATTTTGATCCTTGAGCATTTTTTCTGGAAATATTACTTTTTTCAAGAACTCGAATCAATGTGTTATGTTTCTCTCTCTGTCATTTATTCTGTGTTTCTGTTTGCTATCTGTTATTTTAAACTGACCTATTTCTAAAAGTTTGCAAAGAGAAACCCTCTTCTATTTTCATTACATTTGAGTGTATGTTGAAGTTGAAACTTCCTAGGAGTATCGTGATTATGACTGGTGCTTCATGGCGAAGCTGTGCGCAATACTGAGGTTCTCTGATTTTTTAAGCGAAAACAGATCGCTGCGCACATGGAGGAAAAAAACAGTATTATATCGTACACTCTTAGACAAAAAAACGACGCACCAAAAAGGAGTTATCCGAATGGGACGAAAATCGGTAGAAGTGATGTACATGTACAGAAAACAAATGATTACAGTTTGAGAAAAATTGGATGATTTATTGAAAAAAAGTGAAAAAGTCAGTAACGCGTTTGTCCAACTCTGGCCCTTATGCAAGCAGTTATTCGGCTTGGCATCGATTGATAGAGTTTGCGGATGTCCTCCTGAGGGATATCGTGCCAAATTCTGTCCAACTGGCGGGTTAGATCGTCAACATCCCTAGCTGGTTGGAGGGCCTTGCCCATAATGCTCCAAACGTGCTCAATAGGAGAGAGATCCGGCGACCTTGCTGGTCAAGGTAATGTTCGGGAAGCACTAAGGCAAGCAGTAGAAACAAGTGCAGTGTTGGGGATTATCTTACTGAAATGTAAGCTCAGGGTGGCGTGACATGAAGGGCAACACAACGGGCCGTGGAACTTCGTCGACGTATCGCTGTGCTGTAAGGTTGCGTCGGATGACAACCAAAGGGGAGGCCCACATTGCGGCTGAGCGGTAAAGACGCTGAACACTGGTAGTTCGGTCCGAGGTTCGAATCCCGCGAACGGGCTAGCTGCATGGGCGTTTTCGTGGTTTTCCCCATGTGTAATATGTATACGAGCCAGTTTCCCTTACAAAGTCCTCCACAAAGGCATCCCTCCCTTTAAGCAGATAGCCCTCGTGTGCTTTGCCATAATTGAATAATCCAATCCAATCCAACCAAAGGGGTCCAACTATTAAATGAAA